AAAATTAACAGTACTGGAAAGATTGTATATATTACAGACGGCACCCTTATATTATATAAAGCTGATGACTGGAGCACACTGAAGCAAATAGCTGAAAAGGATTTAATAAGGATCATTGACTAGTTTGATACTAAAATTTTAACAGTTAACTTCAATAAAACAAAATTTAACCCATTGACTATTCAAAAAACAAAAATCGATAGAGTTAGCACTTTGAAATATCTTGGAATATTTTTGGACTCACATTTAAGGTGGTATATTAAATATGTTATCAAAAATATTAGAAATGTTGCCTATAAACTCAAAATGCTTGCTAACATTCTAACAGAAAGTTATCTACGAATCCTGTACTATGCCTTAATTGAAACCCATATAATATATGGCATCACAGCCTGTGGTGCCGCCTGCAAGACATATACAGAGTGAAGTTGAGTCATTAATTTAAAAAAAAAAATTTACTTTGTTTTATAAAGTATCATCCCGACAAGTATTTCAGTGCGGACCTGTATTTGATCGTGAGGTCTTGGAGCACCGGCATGCCGTCCATATGTGAGGTCTTAAGTCAAATGATTCACGAACCCGTTGTACTACATTAACAAAGGCACGAGGGGTTGGTTGCACTCGATTGGGAAACCGATCCGCATAAACATGTGCCATTTTTTATTTCGTTTGAGCCACGCAACAGACACCACTATCCACTACCGACTGACACTGACTGTATACAACTGAATGAAATAATTGTAAAAACATCGTTCCAAATTCGTTCGCTTTTTTGTTTCCGATGCGATGAACCGATAAGGCGAATTATATCCGTTGTCGCCAAACACGAGCACATAATATTATTATTGAGACAGAGCGGTACTCAAACTTCCAAAGGGCTATAACTTTGTTACTTTAATTTTACCAGAAAAACGGTAAAGGAAAAAAACATTTCTTTTGATCAGATCTACTCACTGTTAAAATAAATGACTCAACTTCGAAGTCACCCTGTATATCTTACCTGGTTATAGCACAAAAAACTGTTTTGAAAGCCATTTTCCATAAGCCAAGATAATATCTGACGAACAACTTATATCAGGAAACAGGGCTACTTGATACAAGACAACTGTATTTCTTACATGCCACCACCTTATACCACAATCATTGTAACGAAAAAAAATCCTATAAATACGAGCATAACACACGATTTCGAATAGGCTATTCTAATATCCAAACACCACGCAAAACATTATTCAAAAAATCATTTCAAAAAATCAGCAGCTAAATTATATAATGTAGTACCAAACGAAATAAAAGTACTTAATTTTGGAAAAAAATTTAGACGAAAACTGAAAGACTGTGTTTGTGTTTAGCGAAAGACTATACATAATTATATAGAAAACTAAAACTACAAAATACCAATTATAGTAATACTTTTTAGAATTAACAATTATAATCGTTATACACATATGATTGATTGTTAGTTATTAAGATATAATTCACACACAGGCGATGCCTTCTGTGGTTTTTCAATATTTGTTTGCCCATTTTTTGTATTTTGGGGAAACAAAAATATTATTATTGCTACTACATATATGTAAACCATAACTATATCATTTTTCTTAGCTGAAAAAACGTTACTTAATAACTAAATTTGCATTATTTGAATTTGTGACATATTGTGCAATTTTCAGAATTTTTAAGTTCTTACTTTTAATATAAGGTAATAAAAAAATTAATAACATATTCTGAATTTTTATTTTCGTATCTTACGGTATAGTCAGTAGTCGATGACCAGATCGTCAAACGTTGACGATTCAACGATATGTTCGACTTTAGTTGCCCATTTCATGAAATGCGAGCATACGGTATCAAGGGGTTTTGAGGTACAAAGAAATTAGTAAGTAAGCAACGATGATGTCAACCCAGACAGACATGATACCCCATTCATTAAACTTTTTGAAATTACAATACTTACAGAAGTATAATGAGAATGACGATTTGACCAATTTTGTTAAAATTACTTGAAATTTTTTTGACGCAAGTTTTTATTGAACTTGTTGCTTTACTAAAACCAGAAAAATTGTAAATTGGCTGGAATTGTACAGTCTTAAAATTAAAATTCAGGAATATAAATCCATATTCACCATACCTAAATAGTTGGCGTTCTAAGAATATTTCTATTTGAATGTAAACATAACTTTCTTCCAGGTAAAACTATTAAATAATTGGACCAATAAACTTCGCCATCGCCGTACACCGTGAAAAAGGTGTTAAATACATAAATTTCCTCTAGCCTAATTTGTCGTATAGCCATTTTTACCGCAGACAGTTGAAACAAAAGCATTGTAGAAAGTAACGGTTATAAGAGAGCACTTCGAAATCTATGGTATCAATGTTTCGAAGCTTCTCTAAAACTTTCCAGCACAAAATATACAAGTGCAAAAATATGCATATAAACACAATTTATTATTTTCAGCAAAGTCCTTCATCATCGCACCGTTTCTCCCTGTTCCGCACATACTGGTTGGTATGGGCAGTCCTTTTCCAGGCAGCTGTCCACGTGGACTCCCCCAAAGGCTTCACGGCCCGGTTCATGACCAACGTTTGGGCCATGTTCGCCGTCGTCTTCCTCGCCATCTACACTGCTAACCTGGCGGCCTTTATGATTACGAGAGAAGAGTTCTTTGAGTTCTCAGGTATTTAATTCAGTACAAAACATATCTACATAATGCCTGATCGTTTTACATTGTTGGCTCTTGCGATCTTTAGGAGCTTAGCTTTCGTGTCGGGTCGCAGACACAAAAACTTATGCTGGCTACTCACATAGGTCCTATAATAATACTTTGTAAAGAGCTTTTATCCTACGTCCCTCAAATTTCACCCCTTTCCTGAGAGGTACATGTTTTAGATGCATTGAGAGGCAATATATTTTTTATTTTTTATATATAAGCTAAATTCATCATATGTAATGTAATCTATACAGGGTCTTGATTTGAAAACTCCCACTACGAATTCATCGAAAACCACTGCAGTACTTGAAGACTTTGCATATGTGTCTTGGCAAGAAAACACCAAGCCGCGCATGCATAAGTAATTGCTGGTCTAATAATCATTTTATATAGGTGAACTTTGTTTATAAAACTCAATTTGGAGGATTTACATAACAAAGGATATAGTTGCCAAAACGCAATTTGGAATTTTGTTTTCACGGCTGCTGTATGTTTCTGCCAGGTCATGCCTTTATCAAGGGTAACAGCGAGGTACTTGGCAGAATTTGTCCATGGTGCACGATTGCCGTCTACAGAGACCTCTGCTGGGAGGCCGTGAGTTTTTTGATGCAATAAATAGCCTGTGTATTCGAATGATTAATTTTAATCAGCCATCGTTCCGCACACTCTAGTACTTCTTCCACCGCACTCTGCAACCCATCGTGAACCAGATCACCAGTACACGACTGGGCGACAAGTGCAGTGTCGTCAGCATAGAGGTAGATTTCACAGTTTCCTGGGTCAAGGAACATGGATAAAAAGCGAATAAAGGATTGGTCCTAGGACCGAATCCTGAGGAACCCCGGCCCGTACTGGCCGTGTTGTTGACAAAACATTGTTAATGTTGATCCGAAACTTCCGTCCTTCAAGAAAGGATTTCAGTAATTTTAGAAGCCAAAAAGGAAACCCCTTTTGGATTAGCTTATAAAGGAAGCCCGCGTGCCACACCTTGTCAAAGGCTTTTGAGATCAGATGGTGATTTGACGAAAAATTCTCAAGGTGACGAAAATCACCTTTTCGGCGAGCTTAGAAGGAGCTGACAGCAGACCTATCGGACGGTAATCCTGAGGAAATATCGAACCCACCTTCTTTGGAATCATGATGACCTCAGCAGTCTTCCACCCAGCAGGGAAGTACTGGATTCTGAGCGTTGGATTAATTATTGTCACCAAATATGTCAGGGCTTTCGGCAAGAGCAGCTTCAACGCCTTGTTGGTGATTTGATCCTCCCCAGGTGCTTTACGCACCTTCAGGTCTTCAATATGACTTAGGAGATCCGCTGGTGTGCAATGTGGAAACTCGGAGGGTTCTGCTAATGTGCTATGTGGAGCTTCAGACGAATCTTCTGAGTCAGAGTCATCTGAAGATGATTCAGTACCTCCGCTAACGCCGTTGGCCCTAAAATATCTCCTGATGGATCGTACGATGCGCTGTTCCGCGTCGAGGTCATTATCGAGATCATAGTTGGGGGAGAACTGTTTTTCCATGGCATGAGCAAAAACCTCGTCCTTATCCTCCGTTCTGAAAACTATGCCTTCAGGACCGTGGATGTGCGGGAGTTGTTCTCGCTCTCCGTTTCTGAGTGACTTTGCGACTGTCCACAGAGGAATAGCATTCCCGCCAGAAAGTCGCTCCATTGCTCGTTGCGGAGTTCGTGAAGTCCATTTCTCACTTCATGGACAAGATTTGTAGCCCGACGAATGTCATCAGGATGAGAAGTCTTTTTGCCTGCAGTTGCAGTTGAAGTCCCCTGCCACAATAAGCGGACCCGAGTAGTCCAAAAGGACCTCCAGATCCACCTCATGTAATCTGGCACCACACCTGACATACACCGATGTGATCTTCAACGAGTACACCTCCCGCCATATTGACCACCACAGAAGCTGCTTCGATGCTATGCATCTCCGCATTAGTGCTTCTATAATAGTCTTTCCGGCGCTTAATGAACACTGCTAAGCCGCCAGCTCGACCATTCAATCTGTCACCTCGGATAACATCATAATTCGGGAGAGCTAAACGACCTCCCGGATTAAGCAACGTTTCCTGCAGCAAAATAACTTGATGAAATTCCCGTTTTAGGGAATATCTCTCATGCCCAAACAATTCCAAAAAAGGATTTTGATGAATGCGCAAAAAAACTACTTCACCTCCTTTCACCCTCTGACCCACAAAAAAAATTTAAATGACAAGGGGTATCGAGTAATAACTTGTTTGAAAGGTCTTTATTTTGACGTTTTAAAATCAGTCGATTCGTTTTCGAGAAATTTAGAAAAATCTTTATTCATCTCAATTTGTTCAGATAGAAAACAAAAACATCCGAAAATATCACTTTGTATTTAAATACAGGTAAGTGTTCAAAACGTTTCCCGTCAAGGTTTGCTAAAACTACAATTTAGTTTTCAAATGAAACACCCTTTATAAAATAACGGTCTCGAATTGAAAAAAATATAGATTCTGTATATTTTATTTTTTGTTGATATAGAGTGTTAAGTGGAGGAATAATTTTCCAGCAGAACCACTAGCTCTTACTGATGAGTTTCAATAAAACTGCATGTACCGCCTGTATTTGATAAGTTCACTTTGTGACTATTCGAATACACGAATTGACTTATTCCAGGTATCGATGACCATCGTCTGTCTCGCCCAACAAGCCACAGGCCCAGCATCAAATTCGGTACCATCCCGTTTTCTCACAGCGACTCCACGATAGCGAAGTACTTCAAAGAGATGCACGCATATATGCGCCAGTTCAACAGAACCAACGTACTAGATGGAGTAGCTGATGTGCTAAGTGCTGATTTGGATGCTTTTATCTACGACGGTACTGTGCTTGATTATCTCACCTCCCAGGATGAAGATTGTAGACTGCTGACGGTAAATTAATACGAAATTATTATATCTACTCCAAATTTTAGGTATCCCTCAAACCTTTTGATTTTATTTGTCAGTAAATTTTGATGCCTCTTTGCTGTAGTTTTCTTGCTGGGCTTCTGCTTGCTTTTTCAACTAACCTCACAATTTGCTATATGATCGCCGCTTTTAGGTTTAAGGCTATGAGGTTGTTGTTAAATTAATTAAAATAATAAAAAAACTCGGGTATTTTGGCAATACTTCAATCGCGCTCTTTGTCTGTCATAATTTGAAACTCTTACTATTACATAGAAGGATCAGTTGGAAACTTAGGTTCGTTTATAGATAAACCGTTATTTATCATGTAAATAAGGTAACTAAAAATTGTTTTACTGTTTTACGGTGTCTGTACTCGAACAAATAAATACTTGATCTTAGATCCAAAAGAATTTTATATGAATCTTTAATTATATCAAAAATTATATATTGTGATTTAGTATACCATTCATTTCTTGATTGAGTTTCAGCTGAACGTTTACAAAAAATTTAAAGTTCATGTTCTAGGTTGATTTTAAACTTAATAAAATACGATCACAGTAGTTCATGTTTCTAACAGCTGAATTGGTTGAATGTTGCAAAGATGTTCAAGTTTAATTTATTATGCAATGTTCATCAAAATGATTTCTTGGAGATTTCAACATTCCCAGTTACGTGAATAAAATGTTGGATGATTCTTACAACAATAGCTACTTATATGCTATCTCTAATACGAGCAGTTTCTTTAATTTAGTCCAATACAATCGTATTCGTAACGAATATGATCGTATACTGGACTCAGTCTTCTGTAATATTTCTGTTAATGTGAGAAATGCATCTGATATTCTTTTACCAGTGGATAGACACCATCGTCCGATAGAAGTGCTTTTTTCACTTCCGCGTTGTCTGAATAACTTACGCCCAAACAATAATAATCCGCAATATAACTTTAGGAGAGCAGATCCTCTTGCGCTCTACACCAGTATTATGGATTCAGATTTTTCTTTTCCATCTGACATCCTCGACATTAATATTGCTTGTGACCTGTTTTCTAATAAATTATATAACGCTTTCGATAGGCAAGTTCCATGCACATTACCAAAGGATAACAGATACCCTCCCTGGTTTTCTCGTGCAATAATCTTTAAAATATCAAAAAAACATCGCCTCTGGAAACGATCTAAGAGAACTTTGGTTAGATCTGACTATGAAGCTTTCAGTAATTTGCGAAGAACAATCAAAATCGATATAGACTTGGCGTTTTCTAATTTTGTTGCGCGAACTGAGCGTGCCCTTGCACAAAACCGCAATCACTTTTGGTCCTTTGTTAACTTGCGCAGCAACTGATCATGCATACCCAACAATATGTCTTTGGAAAATGAGGAGTTCAGGAATCCACAGGAAATTGTTGATACTTTTGCCAAGTATATCCAGTCCACCTACATCACGTCTTCACAACCATCCCCTGATTGTTCCATTACAGAAAATATATCGTATCTTCCTATAGTGTCTATTAATATGGAGCATGTACGGAATGCAATACAACGGTTAAAGCCTAAATGTTCCACTGGCTTGGATTTCATACCTTCATTTTTTCTAAAAGACTGTGCGTGCGTTCTTGCAGAAAATGGAAATTGTCTAAAATAACACCTATTTTTAAGAAAGGCGATCGATCACAGGTAGAGAATTACAGGGCTATTGTTATTTTAAGTAATATTGCCAAAGTTTTTGAGTTTGTTCTTTTTGATATTTTGTTCTCTCATGTAAGTCGGTCAATATCGACGAGTCAACACGGTTAAAGCATCCCACAAACCGGCGCGAAATAATCGCGGCGAAGTATTCGCAACGAAATTCAGAGCGAAATTCGCAATCTGTTTCGCCTGTTTATTCATACCAAAGCGTCTTATTCGCTCCGCGAACGTGAAGGTTTCGACAGGTTGCGTACATTTTATTTTTGCCTTTTGCAATGAGCTCGTCTTCAGAAGAAGAGGAGGCACTTCTATTTCTTGCTTTAGAAGAGGAACAAAATGCACGGTAAGTTATGTTTATTTAACGCCATTTGATAGTTGGGTATGTATTAAGTTTAACAAAGTACATAAAACAAATATTTTCAATTTTGTTTAGGAAACGAAGGAAGTGGGTACATGATATTAACTTGGAACGAAATAAATTTGGGGAATATTATACCTTGATGCCACAACTTCGGCTGGATGAACAGCGCTTTTACTTATATTTTAGAATGATTCCAAAGTGTTTCGATGAAATATTGAACTTGGTGAAAGATGAAATACGAAACTCTGACACAAATTATCGTGAAGCTATTTCGCCAGAAGAACGACTTGCTATTACACTCAGGTAAAAAAATTATGTGTATTAAAATTAGTAGGCTTATCGAATACGAAAACTTCAGGGATCGTGAAATAAATATTTTATTGTAATAATTGGACTGCATGTTGCCACTAGGATTAAATGTTGCTAAATAATTCGAGGCAGAATTTGCCTCCTCTGTTGGGTATATTATTGGAGTAAACCCAGTGCCGCTTGGGAAGGACGACATACTACTATCATACATACTTGCAGAATTCTGGGTAGACGCTGAAGACATTTCTTCAATATGTTCAAATTCTTCGTGCGCTATTAATTCGGCTATTTTTAGTTTTATTCGGGCTTGACGCTTTAAGGGAAGTGTTTTCACAGTCTGTGCATGTGCCAAGAAAAGTGAATCAATGGCCTCGTTCTCTTTTTTAGGTTTTTTACCTTCAAAATAATTAATGAGCTGTTGTACAGACGAAGATAGTGGTCCATAGCGTTTTCTGCTCGTTTTATATTTTGGTGTAGTTGCAGTCTGCGGAAAGGTGTGCCCTGGAGTAGTCACTGCTGTAGTGTTCAATGAAGAAGGTGGTGCTGTCTGTGTTGCCGAGGCGTTCTGTGCATCTTCTGCATCTACATCAGCATTTTCATCTTCTCCATGGCCGCGGTCTTCCAAATTTTCGGTTTCTACATTTCCAGCCCTTTCCTGATATATATTTGAGTTAAATTCGGCAGTCTCATAATGTATGACGTAAATATCTTTCACATTAGACGACGTTTCGGCAAATGCCAAAAAAGGACGGAAAAATTCTATGTAGTCAGCCCACTGCCATTTTTTTATGTTGCCCACTGCTTGGCCGGTCTTTGGTTTGGTAGATTTTATATATTTTGCAAATGTGTCTCTGATATTCTTCCACTTTTTTTTTACTTCATCACCTAAAAACGATTATTTTTATAGATTCCTTGCCACTGGTGACACCTTCTATACCATTGGGCATAACTTTCGAGTTAGCTTTACAACAGTGAGTGCAATCGTAACCGAAGTCTGTGAAGCGATATGCAGACATATGGAGCATATATATTTACCAGAACCAACAGAGAATATATGGAAAAAATGTGCTGAAGAATTTGAAAATAGATGGGGATTTCCCAATTGCATTGGCAGCGTGGACGGTAAACATGTAACAGTCAAGAGACCTAACAACAGTGGCTCCAATTACTGGTGCTATTTACATAAATATTCAATAGTACTTATGGCCATTGTTGGCCCGGACTATAAATTTATATGTGTTGATATTGGTGGTTTCGGAAAAAATAGTAATGGGGGTATTTTCGAAACCTCAAACATGGGAAAACGATTTGAACAAAATTTAATGAGTGTCCCTGCACCTAGATTTCTCCCTGGGCAAAATGAAATCTGCTCGTACGTCTTAATTGGTGATGAAGCATTTGCTTTAAAACCATACTTTATGAGACCATTTCCTTATAAGCAGACTTTAACAGACGTCAGAAAAGAGAAATACAATGTAAGACTTTGTCGAGCTAGAAGGGTCGTGGAAAAAGCGTTTGGTATTTTGTCTCAAAAATGGCGAATATTTTACAGTCCATTAGAAACTAAAGTAGATACTACTATTCTAATTGTACGTACGGCATGTGTTTTACACAATTTTTTACGAAGTAAAAGTGGCGATGACAAATATTTTCAATTCTCAGATCCCCCAGAACCCGTGCTTGGATCTTTTACTGATGTAGCAAATGATCCTCGGCGGGCAGCAAGGCTAGCATTTTCTACTCGTGACAAATTCGTAAATTATTTTAATTCTGATATGCCTATGCCCAATATATAGAATGTTCGTTTTCACATTTGTGTAGACTGTAAATTATTTAACAAGTTAATAAAAAATATTAGGTACATACCATTTGTATTTAATTCTTTTCCTATTTCCATCCAAATCTTGTCTTTCTTTCTCACATTCCTGTATTCATCGTTCGACAAATCATACAAACAAGGATACTTTTTCACTATTTCTATCAATAATTCCGTTTTTGCCATTGCGAATTTTTGAAGAACGACGTCAAAAACGCGGTCAAAGGCGAACTGAAATACGCCGCGATAAAAACGCTGGAACAATCGCATTCGCTTCGCACAAGTCTGAGCCTGTCCGTAAGCCGCCGCGTTTTAATCTGATCGCGAATTCATCGCCGCGAAATTTTCGCAACCAAAGCGAATATTTCGCGCCGGTTTGTGGGATGCAGTACTCCGCGTCAGTTCTGAATAATGGCGGGCTAGTTGATGTTGTCTGTGGATCACGGTGTTCTACTGCAGAAGTTGTCTAAGTAGGGTTTAACATCTACATTCTTAGCTTTATTTCAGTCATACATCAGTGATTGACAATTATGTGTGGACTTAAGTCTGGTGCGGTTTTGGCTACATCAGGGGTGCCCCAAGATTCTGTTCTGGGTCCTCTATTATTTTTAATTTTTATCAATGCGTTGTGATTACCTGCTATATGCCGATGGCCTCAAAATTTTTAATAGCGTGTGTTTCTTAGAAGACAGTTTAAGGTTACAGGCTGATTTGATTGTCATTGATCACTGGTGTAAAGTAAATAACATGCACTTGAATGTCAATAAATGTACTACAATGACGTTTACATGCAGGGTGGAACCGACATGTTTTAATTTTGAAATCGGTAGCAATGTTCTTTGACGTGTTAATATCGTCAAGGATTTGGGCGTATTATTCGATCTAAAGCGTTCTTTTATTGATCACATTAATGCAATAATAGCAAAAGCTTTTAAAAATCTTGATTTTGTTATAAGAAACAGTAGACATTTCAATAATATTAATACATTAATTTTTCTTTTTAATGCTTTTGTCAGATCTATTTTAGAATACTATTCGATTATGTGGTACCCGGCCTATGATATACACTGTAAAAACATCGAGAGAATCCAACGTCGTTTTGTGAAATACTTTTGGTTTAAAGATGATAGAGCGGACCCTGAAAGGGGTATACGCAATGATATTCTCTTAAGTAGATATAATTTACCTAATGAATCTGTTGGCTGCTAAATTTTTATGTAATTTGTTGAATGGAACAATTGGTTGCCCTTCTAGACAGGATCTCTCTTCGCGTTCCCCATTTGCGTACTCGTCATGGTGGTAACAATTCATTTTATTTATCTGTTCTGCGGACAAATTTATTGTTATTTTCGCCTCTTTATGTTATGTGTAATGTCTGTCACAGTGTAAGTGAACTCGATATCTTTAGTTCCACCAAAATCGATCTCAAGAGGTGTTTTTTAACAATTGGAAAATTTATATTTATGTTTTTTTTATCATGTAATGTTTAGAGTTTTGTTTTTGTGTCATTTTTTGTTTTTTCCCTGCCTGTTAATTGGATCACACTGTTCAGGCAGTATGTGGATTATTATAAAAAAATAAATAAATCAAGTCCTACATACTTCGATTCTTTCATTTTTTGAAAAATAAGTTCATATCCATTCACGAAACATTTGATTCACACTTTAAAACTATGCCCCTTCACAACACTTCTTTATTTCATTAATGTTCTATCTATAATGCGATCAATCTATATAATGTATTATCATTGACTGCGAAACATCTTAATTTTAATTATTTCAAAAAGTAAATTAAGCAAATTATCTTTGATGCGCAAATCTGAATTAACTCTCAGTGTATAGATTATCCATATTTCCGCATATTAAATATTTTATACTTTTCTTACATACACGTGTACGCTTATTTAATTTGTAATTTTCGTTTGAACTTTGAAAGACCATTTTCTTAAAATTGTTTTCAACATTCGAGTGCTAGTTTTTTCAAGGATTAGCTGGTGGAATAGCTTGTAGCTAAACTTCGTCTTAAATGAAAATCGTTTTTTATTGTTATTACTATTATTAATTGATATAATTTAAAATACACTGTTCCTCTTGTGTTTTTTTACGGGGCTAATTCTCGTCAAAAGAATGTAAATATTTCAGTACGAAACTACATTGGTATTGTTCCTAAAATGAGTCTTGTTTCAAGCCCAATAAGCAAAAAGCGTAAATGGCAACAAAGGGTACTTTCATCAGATTATGCAATAATAAGTTTCGAATAAATGCTAAAAATAACCCCAAGTTTGAACAGAGAGCAAGCAAGAATAACACTAAAACCTGATGTAGAAACTGGTGTCATAGGTGCAAATACTCCGAAGTGCTAGCTTTCGAGGAATGCTCCCGATCAGACCACATACTGAAAAATCGTCATCTTATTCCACATGAAAACATCCACGATATGTAATTCATGGCGTTAGGTATCAGAAATAAAGTACTTTTGCACGTTCATTTTTCTCTATTTATATTCTGAAAATGTCAGAAACCTGTTAATTTAAGAAAGGCATAAAGCGTGAAAGGCCTTGGAGCCTCTTTACTGGACCTTAAGGGAAAACGATAAACGCAAAAAAAGGCTCTGAGAAGTTCTAATTATCTTTTCGTAGCAATGAAGGCGACAGAATTAAAGCATCAAGTCATAAAAAATTTAATTTCCGAATAAAAGGCTCTTCGATATAGGGCATAATTAATTAATAAATCGATCAATCAAAAACTGTCGCTGCCATCCTGATTAAATTTAGGCTTATATTGATCGTACCCCAGTCTATGCTAAACTGATCTTTTGATTAGGTATGGAAATTAGGAACACAGAAAAATTGCTTAAATCCAGTGAACACATTTTTGTTTATCTGTCTCACCATATTTATACCGGATATTTCAAATTCGACTCGCATCATTAAGATCTCGATCTCGATCTCGATATTCGGGGTCAGTTAAATGAAGGCAAAGTTGTGTATTTAGGAAACTAAGAAAATGGCACATAGAAGGCTTCGCAATTACCAGTATTTCCTAAGGTGGATGAAAGAAACCGAATTTTACCAAAATCACTTTAATTTTTTCCTGGCTTTATTTGAGATGGAATTTCAAAATAAGAAATATTTCAAATCGGCATTTTTTCATCTACAAGATGGCATAGTTGAAGACATAAGTGGATAAAGGTGTCATGTCACAAAATCATTGAGTAAAGAAAATTGACTTTATACATTTTTTATTGGAACTTTTGATTTATTAAAATTTTAGATATTTAGTTTAATTAATTTGTTATTATCTTGTTTTTGCAACAAATTAATAGCAGAATGAAAGAGTCACTTCTTAAAGTTATTTTAATGCAAAAAAGCAATTTTTTAAAAAATATTTCATGACACCTTTATCCACTTGTGTCTTCAATTACGAGGGTTGTCCCAGAAGTTCCCAACCCAACGAAGAAAACACAAAAATTTTGTAAAAAAATGTATTTATTTTTCAACGTAATCTCTTTTGAGCTCTATACACTTTCCCCAGCGATGTTCAATAAGTTCGATACCCTTTTTATAATAACTGTCTTGCTCCTCAAAATAGCCATTAACTGGGACATCCCTTCTTCATCGTTGGAAAATCTTCGACCACTGAGCCATTTTTTCAAGTTTGGAAACAGAAAATAATCCGAGGGGGCTAAATCTGGTGAATAGGGTGCATGAGGTAGCAATTCAAACTTTAATTCTTTAATTTTGGCCATTGTGATAACGGATTTGTGAGCTGGTGTATTGTCTTGATGAAACAACACTTTCTTCTTAACCAAATGCGGCCGTTTTTGCTTGATTTCATCGCTCAAACGTTGCAATAGGTTCGCGTAATACTCGCCGTTGATCGTTTTACCTTTTTCAAGATAGTCAATGAAAATTATCCCACGCGCATCCCAAAAAACCTGCAGAAACGGTCTTCGCCTTCTTTGGAGCCGGTTGTCCCTTTTGAGTCCATTGTTTTGATTGTTCACAGCTTTCTCATGTCCAAATTTTCAGATAATATACGATGAACCGCACTTTTTGAAATGCCTACTATGTCTGCTAGCTCGCGCACTTTCAGTCGACGATCGTTCAGTATCGCTTGCTGAATTTTCTTCACCATTTCTGGAGTCGTCACCTCATTTGGTCGACCACTGCGATGCTCGTCTAGGCAGCTTATACGGCCTCATTTTAACTCTGCTACCCAATATTTTACTATTGTAAACAAAGGAGCAGACTCACTTAGAGTAGAATCCAGTTCAGCTTCTATATTGGGCTTTGAAATAAAAGTATTGTACCACATAACGATGACCAATTTTCTCCATTTTCACAAATTCACTGAAAACGTAAAGTATTGACGGCTGCCAAACAAATACGTGGCGTCTTCAAATTTGACACATATGCTTTATAGGTTGCATACTTGCTAATACAATGATATTTTTCAAACAACTATCGCCATCTCTAGGTCAGGCCGGGTACTTCTGGGACCACCCTCGTAGAATAACAATATGACGCGTTTCGTCTCTTGTCCTCAGTCATCAACTTAATTGTTCCTTATAGGCGCTATATTGCATTTCTGCACTGTTGAGTAGTTTTTATGTTTGATTCCATAAAAGTATGTCAACTTCAGCTTGCTCCAGCTTCATTCTTTAAAAAATAAATAGGCGTTAAAAAATCCTATATGGAATTGTCTCAGAACCTCCCAAGCATACCTACTTACGTCAAAACCGCCATTTCAGGTTGGATCGTGGTACGCGATGACTGGCTATGGTCTTGCCTTTCCTCGTAACTCTAAATACCTGAAGATGTTCAACAAACAACTGCTGGACTTCCGGGAAAACGGCGACCTTGAAAGACTGCGCCGGTACTGGATGACTGGCGTCTGCAAACCTGGCAAGCAGGAGCACAAAACCTCCGATCCACTCGCCTTGGAGCAGTTCTTGTCCGCTTTCCTTCTTCTTATGTCAGGTAAGGCTATACGAAGACTTTTTGCGGAAATAGAAGCGTTAAGCGTTTTGACTATTCTTTTCAAAAGCAGCGATCTTTGAAAGAACCAAGCTAACGTGCACTGAAACAGCAACGGAAAAGCAAAAACAAATTAAATAAATCACTATTGTTGCCATTAAAAATACCTTCGTTAATTTGTGGCTGGCTAGATCTTCTACTCTACCCACCTCGACATCACTACAAGCCTGCGCGGAACAGGGTAAATAATATGAATATACTTGACTAGCACCAGCATCATTTTGAAGACGCTCGATTGGCTATACTCTGGTACCAAAACAGAAGAAAGTAACATCGTGCGTTACTGCTAGCGCCGCATGCCTTTGTAGGTGCACGCTGTATTCAATGACAGCTAACAGTAGCGTACGCTCTGGTTTAATACTCTCTTTCGTTTCGATACCAGACTATATTGACTAATCGACAAAATAGTTATTGCTATAGAAATGTGTCATTTTCTAATATTTAAAATTCGATTTATAAACAAACAGATTAGCTTACCTGCATGGGTTGCAGGCGATGAATTGGATACTGAAGTATTTTCGTGCTTTTTCATCTAAGTCTTTGTTAGAATCGGGGCAACTTTTGATATTAAATTTTTTTTCAGAGTATTATAACTTGATTATCTTAATAAGACTTTGATGTAAGTTGAAAAGATTGCTCGTTTCTACAAGAATTATCCGTTGTACAAAGGAAAGTCCCAACTTTAAGAACATCCTGCGTGGCAATTTGGCAATGCAGTTATCAATATAGCTCTGACTATTCAAAGTTTCACCTCTCACTCTTCCCACAATAGCTTGGGGTACACCCCTGTTAGAAATTGTGCACCAGACAAGGATTTTATCTGTAAATTTCGCTTTATGTTTGTATCTAACATTGTGAGGGCATTCCTCTATGTTGTCCATAAAAAGTCTGTCATTTTCCTTCATTTCAGAATTACTCAAAGTGAAATACTTTTCGTCATCTAAAATACTGATTTTTTCATTGGCAATGTGTACCCGCTTCAGTTGATGACATCATCTTGGTATACGAAGAAGTTTCGCTTGAGAGTATTTGGAGCACTTAAGTCTCTTTCGATATTTAATACCATTCATCCTCAATTCCAACATATCGTACTCTTAGAATATCTTTATTGACGAACCAATCTCCTTGTTGACATTCCAACCTGATTTTTTGCTCTTCTCACCAATCTCTCCGACCTCTGTGCAGTAAACAAACTTTTGTTTCCAAAGGCAACTTGATATTATTTTGTGTTTGCTAAAATTAAAGCCAAAGAATGTTGTGCCAAAACTATTAGGACATACGTTACTTTACCTTAAATGCCTGTGATTGATTTTTTCTGGAGAAAAATACAAAATCAACGGAAACATTATCATATCATATCACATTATTATAACTACCTAAAACTGTAATGACTCATCGATGTTCACGTGAACATCACTTAACTACCAGTAGTCGGCTGTTCATAAGCGGGGTATGAATGTTTAACATGGGTGAACTAGATTTGTCACATGCTTAATAAAGAGTGGTTTGAAACATATTGTAAGTCGAAAATTTGGGAATTACCTTTATTCATCGTCGCTTCCACTTACATCTGACAGTAATGAACTGTCGCAATCGCTTTCCTCGTTGAAATTGACTATAACTGGCTCTATGATGGTGTCGATGTGGTGGTCAAGCTGCCACATTTTTGTTTCTTCCTTCACAACATGACGGATAGCATTCTGCCAAGCTTCGGGCGTTACTAGCTGTATGGAAGTCTCAAGTAAAACCTTAACGTCTGGTAATTTGAAGGTTGTGTTATGGCGCACAATATAACCCTTCACTTGAGCCCAGATGAGCTCTATTGGGTTCAGTTCACAGTGGTAGGGCGGTAACCGCAGCACAGTGACACCACATTGACGGGCCATCTCATCAGTCACGTAACTAATGTTCGCAGGTTTGTGCTGTTTAATTTTTTCATACAATTCCGCTTTCACACATGAATCGTCAAACGGGATTCCTTTTTCGCGCAACCATTGCTGCATGTCACTTTTTCGAGATCCCATAGTCGGTACACGTTCGGCTCGACGACTATGGTAGGAAGCATTATCCATGACGATCACAGAGTTGGGCTCAACTCGCTGAAGCACCCCTTGAAACCAGCTCTCGAAGCAGCTGGCATTCATTTCGTCATGGTAATCACCTCCTTTCTTAGAGACGAAAATCAAGTCACACTCTTCTAAAAAGCCACTATCGCTACCAATTTGACCTTTCCCTGACGGTCCACGAAGACCTGTTGACAAACCTTCAATACTTGCTTGTCGGTTACTCACTACGTTTTTGTCTATCCAGGTTTTTTTAACTGTGTGACCTGCATTTACCCATGTCTCGTCCAAATAATAGATTTTTCTGCTTTGTCGCCTACATTCAATCATTTCGCGTAGGTATTTTCGACGCCAGGCGACTATTTCAGGTCTCTCTATCAATACTGACTTCCGATTACGCGTTTCGTAACGAAAATTAATTTCGTGCAGGGATTTCCTCATTACCTCGACGCTCATTTGGGGTATAATTTCATTTTCCTTGATCGCTGCATGTACAGCCTTGAGGGTTGGTATCTCATTCCTAAAGAAGAATGAATGTACGGTTCGCCTTAACGCCATTTTGCTATCGTCATCCAATTTAACGGCCTTTCGTCCCTTCAAATTAAACTTTGGATCAGTAGTAGCTCCAGTTTTCTTCTTTTCATGCACCACCCTGCGAATGGTCCACTCTGGAACGCCTGTCATACTTTCACAACGCGCAAGTGCATCTCCCTGCGACATAGTTCTGTTCAGATAATTGAACACGTTGAGCACGATTCCTTTCGCGCCCCTCTTCAGTGCTTTACGAAGCCGTCTACTTGTTCCCTGGCTTTCAGTACTTCCACTCGTGCCATTTGTACTCTCCATGGTTAAGTATAACCAAAACAGTAACCACAGAAACCACAACAATAACAATCACAGAACAATTCTTATAAAAACACACAATATGCGATCGCTGAACGAAACACGTTCCAATGCGTTGCCGACGCCTATGAGTCTGCCGGTCGAGGCGCGTCTTTGATTTCATTCGTTCTACCGGCGGAGAACAATCAGCCATTATTTCCATCTCTGTCTGTGCTGTTTACCACCGCAAAGACACAGAAACGACATATGTCGTACGCTATACAGCTGTACTGGAAGGAAGCCGGGATCGAGCTCTGATCACGTGTTGATCACGCGTATGAGTCATTACAGTTTTAAATAGTTGTAGTATAGTGAAATTATTGTTACAGGTATCTTGCTGGCAGCCCTTCTATTACTTCTGGAACACCTATACTTCAAGTACGTCCGGAAACATTTGGCCAAAACCGACAGGGGAGGTTGTTGTGCCCTGATCAGCCTCTCTATGGGCAAAAGTCTCACTTTTAGAGGTGCTGTTTATGAAGCTCAAGATATTCTTAGGAATCATAGGTAATCATAGTAGCTCATAGACAAAAGTTTAATGGTGCCTTAAATATTATTTCATATTTAAATTACATGCAGCAAACTCATAGATCAATTGCTTGATCTAACGATTATGTCAGTTCTCAAACCAATTAGCTGTGTTTAAGACCGTGAAACATTAAGTTTCTTACGAACATCTTTGGCACCACACTGAGAGTGTTTTGAACCGTCCCGAGATATTTAAATATTCTGTCGTAACGACGAAGTAGCAAAAAACTACCTTCTTTTCTTTAATAAACGTATGTGCGAGTTCCTTTATTCAGGGTGGCGCATCGAAAACGAAACAGACGCATTTACTGGCAGCTCAGTTTTTTTTTTAAAAACGCTCAGACCCGTCGAATTTGTTTTCGAGGGGGACACAAGTTTGGCAAAAACTCACGTTAGCTCTCCATGCAATAATAAAGGTTTTGCTCAAAACGTTGCCGCACATTTTGTAATATTTGAGGAGTAATTTGAAGGCACTCATTCACAATCCTTTGTCGCAGGTCTTCTAATGATGTTGGCTGAGTAGCATAGATTTTGCTTTTTAAATGAGCCCACGTAAAGAAATCCAAAGGTGATAAATCTGGCGATCTTGGGGGCCATTCAATGGCACCTCTTCTACCAATCCATCGATCTGGAAACGTCTGATCTAAATATTGTCGAACATGTAATGCGTAATGTGGTGGGGCACCATCCTGTTGGAACATCAACCTATACGCAATGTACCGCCGATCATTCTGATTTTCAATTATGGCTGTTAATGCAGGATCTATGGCGTCTTCCAGTAATTCCAAATATATTTCACCGGTCGAATTTCCAGGTAAGAAAAAAGGACCAACTAAATGATCGCTAAAAATAACAGCCCAAACATTTAATTTTTGTGGCTGCTGTGTATGAACCTCATGATAAATTCTGGGATTAGAATCGGATCAATATCATATCTTCACAAAATTGTAATCGCCGATCAAAATCGTCTTCATTAAGTTCTTGTACCAGGAGAATTTTATACGGATGAAAACTATGGGCCTTTAGAATCCGTCGGACAGTACATCGACTAACACTACACACAGTCTCCAATTTGCGGGTACTTAACGTAGGATCTACATAAACTGGCCCTAAAACCCCCACTTCTGTTGCTTCGTTCCTTATGGGATTTTCAATGTTGCGTTTTTTTATTGAGAACTGACCCAGTTTCCCGAAATTTACCTACAAGTTCTAGAACCTATTTTCGATGCACGTTACTGTTCTTATGTCGCTCATTAAATATTTCTGCTGTTCTATTAGCGCACTGATTATTTCCTAAAAATATTTCGATAATTTCAACTCTTTCTGCTGTTGAATATACCATGGTTAATTCATGAAATAAAGCGTTACAAGTTATTTTAGCAACAAAGTTTGGTCAAATCAATCGCAAACTATGTACTAAATTCCTATTTAAAATAAGTACGAGATATTTCCTTATCTTTCTCCAAGAAATAACTTTTTTGCCACAAAAAAACGCTCCAATAGCTATTTTCAACAAGAAAATGATAAACAAACCATGGGCGTAGTGAAGAAAAGCATTTACTTATTAAGTAAATTATTTTAGTCAAATTTCTTCTGAAAGTAGTACAAACTAATCTGATGTACCTATTAAAGTCTACTTTAAGCTTTAAATCAATAAATCTTCAAAACTACTGAACTGAAGCTCATGTATTTTACATCATTATAAAATGAATTGAAATACCTTTAAAATAAGGTATCACTCGACCCCCCTTTCCATTCAAGATTTTAGGGTTGGTGTCACTACCGCCCAGGGGGCTGTACGTGTTAACGTGATTTTTTGCCAAACTTGTGTCCCCCTCGAAAACAAAATCGACGGGTCTAAGCGTTTTTCCAAAAAAAAACTGAGCTGTCAGTAAATGCGTCTGTTTCGTTTTAGTTGCGCCACCCTGTATATTACAGGCCATTAAACTGTGTACAAATTCAAAGACGAATTACACAGCATTAGTCCAACCCTGCCTCTCGAACACAGTCTCCCTATTTACTAAAATGCACAGCTCTCGCTGGAAAATACCGAACCAGTATTGTCCATTACACTCCACGATACTTCATATGTAGTGACACTCGCAATGCTCCATCTCGTCAAGTAATACACAACTCTGACGGATCTGTAAACGGAACCTTGCTAAGAGTGTTCTCTGGTCGTATTTCATTGTGGACTTTTATACCGATTCATACTGTTAAACAATGCATTTTATGTGATTTATTGCATGAAGTAATTAGAATATTTTGTCAAACTGTAAAAGTATGTATGTGCTTGGTGCAAATGGTTCTTGAATTTCAACGGATTAAACACACAGATGTCAGTTGATGTGTTGAAGTTTCGTGGAAAATAGTGTGGATTATTTGTAGCACATGTTATATTCCCATCTCTAGATGTAAGGACCCCATATGCGATACACACCTGTGGAAGGTGAAACGAGAACTGGACGTGGCCCAGATTCGAATCAAGCAACTGGAGAAAGAGCTAGAATGCCACGGGATCAAGCCCCCTCCTCCCTGTAAACGGTAAGTGTATGATGTGTGTATAGATATCTAGATAACCCAACTAACAAAGAAACAAACGAGAAATAAATTGGATTTCTGGGTGACCTTTTGCATGTATGTTAGCTACACCTATGTAAAAAATGGTGCTTATATTTTCTCTTCAGTATTCGTTTCTTTAAGTGCTCTTAACGCCTTCCACAATACATGACCTCATCATGACTACTTTACCAACAGTATAACTACAATTTACTTTCTCCACAGCAAAGAAAAATGTGCATCACTCAAGGTCCAGACAGAAATCCAACTTATTGCGGAGTTAAGATTTTATTTATTGGGTTATAGAACTAACTTTCGATCCCAAATTTTGCTATATCACCTTGCCGCTTGTTATCTGCTTGTTTTGGAGTTTTGAGAGATGGTGGTCGACCCAAAACGTAATTGAAGTATACTCAAGAGCAATGCAATTATCCATTTACATTGAGTGATAGTATATATGGTGTCTGATGATTTTCTGATGCCGACTATTTTAACCGTTACCAATGTATCTGTTTTCAAGAATAAACTTCGTCTTCGTGACCTTCGTAGGGCCAGTCTTCACTCACTTCATCGTAATTTCAAAGTAAAGGGTTTTCTAATAAGGTAGGACAGATGTTAACGTAAATTTAAACAAGTTGTGCGTCTCACCATTCCAACATAGTGGTCAATCACTGCTTATCAAAACATAGCAGTGCAACTATTAGTATATTTAAAAAGAGGCCCTGAGGAATAAACTTATTTTCCGAAAGGTCGGAACTTTGTGACTGAAAACTGTATTTCTTTACAAGCCATAACCAATCAACTACCACTGTTCCATGTAAGTAAGTTTCAGAATATTGGTATTAACAAAAAAAATTCATTTAAAATGGAATTCATACGGTTCATTTGACCACTTCGCATCACGGATTTATAGAAAACCACTGATTAAAAGAAAAAACTTCACCCCCTTTCACACTCTGCCCCCAGGGTCATCCCCTCAAAAATTTTAAACGACAAGTGGCGTCGTAGATTGGTTTTTAAGAAAAATAGAAAAATCTCTATTTATCTTAATTTGTTCATATAGAAAACAAAAACACGCGAAAATATCACTTTATATTTCAACAAGTGTTCAAAGTGTTGCCCATTATTGACCAAACAATGATATAAGCGATGTTCAAATTCCTGAAGGACATTTTCAAAAACATGTGGGATATTGTGACACTTTAGATGATGCGTTGACAAAGTTCATCCAAACTTTCAGGTTGGGGAGTAAACATAATAGCTTCCACTCTTTCGGCTAGTGTTTATACCATTTTTAAAGTAAAATCTGAATCAATAAATTAATTTTCACTATCCCAAGGTTGTCTCAACGGTAACTGACATCAAGTTAAATTCTTTTTTCCCTTAGCAACAAATAACTAAACAGCTATAGCAATAAATACAGTTAGCCCAGCATATCTGTGTTGATGAAATGAATGCGGAAAAATATTCGGGTTGTTATTTAGTTGTTGCCACGTCTAATCTTCCGAATTGCTATTTATATTGGTAGTAACCGTTTTAAATTATAAACGAATTGTAGATTTGGGAAACCCTAACGAGCAACAATTTGGACACTTACTGAAATAAAAAGTAATATTTTCGTGTTTTTGTTTTCTATCTGACCAAATTAAGATAAATAAAAAGATTTCTAATTTTCTTTTTCTCGTAAACGAATCGACTGATTTTAAAAAATCTAACGTCAAAATGAAGGACTTTGACAGACCTCCCAAATAAGCTATTACTCGATACCCCTTATCTTACAACATTTTCAAGAAAACGACCCTGGAGGGGCGAGGGTGAAAGGGGGTGATGTAGCTTTTGGTTAAAAAGTTGTCCCCCATGACAAATCTTTTGACGTGTTTCGCCGTTTTCCCTTTTAATCAATCGTTTTCGATGAATCCGTGGTGGGAGGTTTTCAAATGAACACCCTGTATAGTTCACTCTACCCGCTGTGACTTCGAACGGCGGCACGGATTAAATACTTCAATATTTGATGACTGCTGCATAGATCTGACTGAAGCCAATCAACCGAGCCTGAGTTATGTTGTTTATGAAGGCAACTTGTTGCGGTTCCAAAAACATGACGCAAAAGTCTAAATGGTTTAAATCGCTAGACCTAAGTGTCCATTTTACGTCAATTTTGCGATAGATACCCTAGCCTGATCGATTTTGCAGATTATATGCTCGGTATATGGCACATGGGCCAATTCTGTTGGAACTAATCATACCGTCCAATTGATCCAAAACAAATTAGCAGTCATTAATGTGTCGGGATCGTCAGTGACGATGAACCTCACCAACACTGAAAAACGAAAGCCAATGACATCATCAGCCTCAAATGTATACCAACCAACTTTTTGTGGATACACAGCCCCCGTACAATGGGACAAATAAATATGCACATAAATTTCGTTAATACCAACCCACACTTGTTTAATTTCAGTTTATCCTCATTGGAAAACCCTTTGGTGTAGAATTAAGTTTTTTGTGGAACACTTTTTTCCAAAACGAGTAGCCTAAAAACAGTTCTCAAGAAAGACGAACAAAGAAAGTGAAACATGGTGAATATCAGTTGGTATATTTTTGAACCGTAGCGAAAAGTTGATTTATATTTCATATTATTTGTTTTCGCAAATCTGTAACAAACTGAGAATTCTGCCACTCCTGACCGGGTCCTACTGCCACCTTTTCGTCAACACTCCCTCACAGCGCTCTTATAACATATCACTACTACGCCTCATTCCCATTTCACCCACATTACATACACTTTTTGTGCACCCCTTATTCATTTTATAATAGCAAAAGCATCGTGTTGCACCAAAGATAATTTGTCAGTTGTCAGGCGTGCTCTCCGTTAGCTGTCACGAAGCTTCCTGCCTCCGCCTCTGGGGATAAAATATTTACTACACTTGATTTTGGAATATAAATAGGTCGTAATGGTATTTCGTCGTCGTTCTATTTTAGTACCTTAGGATTTTGTAAGATTGGATAAAATAGATCAAAATGAATGATATATTAATATACACGGATACAGATTCTTTATTATAATAATAATATAAGCAGTGATCAAAGCTAAAACGGTCACCTCTTGAAGTAGGTATTGACTAGTTGACGGAGTCCTGACACTGAAGGAACTACCTGTCGAAGTATTCAATGTCAACAGAGGTTTTCGGGATGAAAATCTGTAGGAATGGGTTATTTCCCACCTAAACAAATGCCCATTTTTAATAGCTAGCATTGAAAGAGGAGTGAGTTAAATTCACTGTAGTCCTAGATGAGGCCATCGGTCAGTACGTTTGAACTTGTCTGCCGGATACAGATACAGCATGATTATACAATATATATTTTACGTCAAACTGTCAATGTAAAAAAATAGAGGCTATCTTCCTCTTACCTGCCGGAAACCGAGCCTCCGTAGCAGAAGTTACATCTTATTCTAAGGAAGTATGAAAAAAATTAAATCAAGCTAAAGCCTGTTATACAGGGTATTCCTTAATGATATGCGAAAATTTAAGGGTGTAAATCTACATGAAAAGTTTGTTAGTTTGCTTTATAAACTATGGTCCAAAAATTTTTCCCTACAAAAACTCGGGGTTTTAATGTTTTAGTGAAAAAATTAAAATTGATTAACATTTTTAGAACCGCTTCAGATATTTCACTGATATTCAGTACGTAGTGAAAGTTGATAAAGTTACATATTTTTAACAGTGGCGTGCATATGGGCATTGACTCCGATATTTTTTAAGAAAAAAATGGTAGATACGTTAATGGTTTTTTGCTAAATAAAAACTATTTTTGAATTCCCCGTTCAATTTAAAACAAATGATCTCTCTTGAATTGTTTTTTTCGATGCGCCATTTTTGAGTAAAAGAAATGAAAACCGTTCTATTGTCTAACTTGCAAAACATAAGCATAACATTAAAACCAACTAAATGATTACAAAAATGGTTGAAAATGGCCCCCTTTACTTAGTATGCGTGCTTCCGCCCTCCTTCTCATGGAATTGCGCACTCGTTGACATATCCCTGGAGTGTTTTTTACTCTATTACAAACTGCAACAATTCTTTCTCTTAATTCCTCTACAGAGTTAATGGGACTTGTGTATACTAGTGTCTTAAGATATCCTCATAAAAAGAAATCCAAACTGTTGGGGACTTTGGTGGCCATTTTTGGGTCCCACCGCGGCCAATCCAACGATTTGGATAAACAGATTGTAAATAATTACGAACCGCTACACTGGAATGTGCTGGTGCACCATCATTCATGTACCACATATTGTTTCTTATTACTAACGGAACATCATCAAGCAGCAAAGGCAACTGTTGTTGAAGAAAATTGAGGTAAGTCTGTCCGTCAAGTCGTCCCGGCAAGACGAATGGGCCAATAAAGTGGTTACCAATAATTCCTGCCCATACGTTAACCGAAAATTGGAGTTGGAAATGGGTTTCGGTTACGGCATAGGGATTTTCTTCTGCCCACAAATGATTATTGTGGAAATTCTGAATGGCATTTCGAGAAAAAATAGCTTCGTCCGTGAACAGAATCATTGATTCAAATTGCGGATTTTGTGTAATTTTTTGAAATACCACTGACAAAAGATCACACGCCTTGGAAAATCAATGGGAGGTAATACCTGTGCTCTTAAAATATGGTAAGGATGTATCAAAAAATCCACTAAAAGTCTCCAAACAAAATTTGATGGTAAATATTCAAGTGTCTAGCGATCTTCCTCGTACTCGTTTCAGGATGTTTTTCGACTTCGTGCAGCACTGCTTCCTCAATTTCAGGTGTTCTCACACTTAGAGGTCTACCTTCAGATGTTCCTTTTCGGACAGAACCAGCTTCAACAAGACGACGATGAATATTAGGAAAGGTTCGACTATCTGGCAAAGCACGATCGGGATATCTCTGATGATAAATCCGTCTGGCTTCCAACCATTACCGTCGGCAAGGCCATATACGTACTG